GTGTGTGTGTGTGTGTGTGTGTGTGTGTGGTACCTCAGTGCACCAGGTGGCTGAGAAGACTGAGGTGCTGGGTGCTCTATCCATAAAGACCAGACGTATACTGAAGGGTCATGGGAACAAGGTGCTTTGTATGGACTGGTGCAAAGACAAACGTCGTCTCGTCAGCTCCTCACAGGTACACACACGTACACTCTTCACACACATACACACATGTCGTACAGTATATCAGGAGAGATATAGTATTATCTTTCATAGATATATATGTCCGACATGAGAGTGTTTACAAAGTGTGGAGGTTTATTGGTTGTATTATGTTTTAATGTTATGCTGATTTACTTTTTCCATACCAGGATGGAAAAGTGATTGTGTGGGATGCATACACTCTTAATAAGGTCAGTAGATGTGTGTGTGGTGCTTTTGTGTATGTGTAAGAGAGTGTGTGGAAATCCATTTCACTAAAAATGAACAACTAATCAGGGAGATCGTTCTAAAAGTTTGGGATTCTTTCGAAGAAAAATACTTCCCAAATGATTTTTGGGTTAAAGCATCAAATGTACCAAAAAATCCATGTATTAAAAAACGAGTTGTGTGTTACTTCGATGACGCCTTAAGAGTGGAGAAATGAGAGGATATTCTGGTGATGTATTTTATTGTGGATACTTTTAGTATTAAATGTTTTCTTTTAATGTTTACTATTTCATCTTCATATCACATTACTCCATCAGTTTAGTCCCACTGCAGGTGTCATGAGCTTTACTACACAGGGATACGAAATCAGAATTACAAACAAAACATACATTAATATTAATTCATCCATAATTATCAAAACTCCAAACAACAGCATCATTTGATCTTTCTTACTGCAACTTTAAGAGCAAACCTAAAGTGTTATGTTCTCTGTGTAGTTCCACAGAAGCTTATTCCACATTTATTCCTCTCTCATTATATATCAAAGGTTGAGTTTCATGTCCAACCCATGAAGGAACCTGTTTGACCCAGCCTGCCCCTCCACTCTGTTGCATATGGCGGAGATGTTTTTACGCTCACGTTCTCTTCACCATATGTACTGATGTTGAGCAGGTGTGTGATATTCCTCTGAGAGAGGGCGAGGCACACATGGAACTACTCCTTCAGAGATTATCTTTCCATCTGGGCCCTGTAATAACTGTGTGTGTCTGAGTGCTCTTTAATGGTAGAGCAGACATAACCACACTGAACATATAATCCCTATTAATACTCAGCACATTTACTGCAGCTGTGTGTGTGTGTGTGTGTGCATGAGAATAGTGTGTTTATTCAAAGAATATAAGTGGTCACTACTCCAAATTCATCTGTTTCCTCTTTTTTCCATGCATTGTATGTCTGTTTGTGTGTTTGCGATGTGTGTGTTGCAGGAGCATGGGGTGACCCTGCCGTGTACGTGGGTACTGGCGTGTGCATATGCTCCCTCAGGTTGTGCTGTGGCATGTGGGTGAGTCCAAAAGTTCATCTTTCCTATCATCAAATGTCAACAACTTAAAGTAAAATAACATAATTGGAAAAGTTCCACATATGCATTTTATAGAGGTGATCTCTTCTACTACTTTGGTGACTGATACTGTTCAACTGCATTAAATCAGATCATATGTTTTGTTTGATATATTAAAATAAAGTGGACTGGATAACAAGTGCTCAGTCATCCCGCTGTCACTGGACAAAAATGAGAACTTGGCTGCGAAGAAGAAGTCGGTTGCCATGCACACCAACTACGTATCAGGCTGCACCTTCACCAACTCTGACATGCAGGTATGAACCAGTTCAATGTCCTGTGAGGAACGGACTGTGTACGAGTGTATGACCCATTTGTAATCTTTCCATAAAGAGAAAATGAATTTGTCCACTTGTTCTGGGCAAACAGGGATTTTGAAAACACATTTTTAAATTTTTAAAGATGTAAATTTTTATTTCTATCTGCACCAGAATGTGCACATTTATTCATATCAATCCCCATAACAAGATATCTTCATCAAGATCCATGAATTATTCTCAACAAAATGAAAAATAAAAATCCTGGATCTGCTCTCTGATCTGAATTTGCACCAAAATGTAATGGGTTCTTCTTTGGCTCATGTCCCACCCCTCCACAAAATGTCATGGCGCTCGGTTGAGCAGTTTTTGCGTCATTTTTTTCGCTAGAGTAACTTAATGTGCGCTCTCCTCATCCACTAGAAGTTTTCTTGTTGCTGTTTTTGACTGTGCCTGTGACGCCCCGAAGCAAAGAAGGCAGGTGAGGGGACAGAGTGAAAAGGTGAACATGGCAGATACAGCCTGACATATTTAACTTTAATAATTTACTCCACTCTGGCCTCAGTAATAAGACAGAGGAGCACTGGGGTGAGAGTTAAGTAGAGGACAGGAAAGGAAGAAGAGAGGGGAGATTGATGGCAGGGGTGAGGAGGGGGCAGAGGAGCGGGGGAGGGGGTCCTCTATGCCGTGTGTATTAATAGACACTGAGTGATCTTTTATCAAGGAAAGAGAGGAGACCTGAGGGCAGAACATTTAACACAAAGACACACACACACATAACACACACTCACATGGTTTTTTTCTCTGTTTTTATCTGTCGCATTCGCACTCGGCATGTCACACACAAAGACACAAGCACGCACATGAGGACACTGTCACACTTACAGCCTTTATACCATCAGAATAGAGCTCCGAGCACAAAGCTCTGGACCACGTGGAGGGCTGTTTACTATTCATTGTACGGTGTGAGTTTATAAAAGACTCCACATTTTATACCAGCCTCAAAGTGTGCTAGATATTACTCATGTTATGGGGACCTCTGTTAAAACAGTCAAATCCACATCACATGAATCATTACATTTAAAGATGAAGACACACGTTTGAAGGTAAGGGTTAAGTTTAGGTTTAAGTTAAAGGGCTACGGATAATTGCATTCATGTTGAAAGTGCAGCCCGCTCTCAGTGCGAGCAGGATGTGGTGTGTTTTTGTGCCGGAGGTCGTCCAGCAGGAGCTCTATAATCCACCAGCCAGCAGGGACGTCTGATGTCTGCCTGTGTCTCTAAGTGCTCATAATCTGTTTTCATCAGAGGATCGCTGACATTTTGGTATTTTGTGTGCGTGTTTGTGTGCATGGATACATGATGCACAGTGCCTTAGTAGGAAGGTGCTGACGTTTGGTTTTCACTGTGTTTACTTGGACATACGAAAGCTTTAAGGTTAGCAGTGAAGTCAAAATGATCTCATGCTGGGCACTGACATTTTACTTTTTTATATTTTTATTCCTCCTTTGTTAAGGTGTGAGAAATGAGAGTGAAGCTGGTGTTCAGACTGAACGCCGCACATTCACCTGAAATTATCTCGAGGGGCTGCACGTGAGGACGCAAATGTTCTAATTGCTTCTGAGCTTTTCCCGCCAGTCCCCTTGTAAGACGTCTGGAAAATGTCTGCGTGAGCCCATGTGAGAATACAGCAAGAAAATCCAAAACTTGTGACAATAGCAGGTGAAAAACACGTGATTTCTGCAGCAGCATTCATGCCTCGTGTGCTGCTTAATGCAGGCTCCACCACACCTCACCTGAACACTCCAGAGGTTTTCCTGTTGTTCTGACCTGGAGAATCTCATGCTGTGTTCTCCATTTGTGAAAAGCCAAGAAAATGTCCAGAAAATGTCCTAACCCAATTGTCTGGAAGTTTTTGATTGAAAACAGCTATAGAGCATAAAACAGAACAAATAACTTAAAGTGACCCAGATATATATATCTTTAAACACAGAACTCTTAAATGTACCCCTACAATATTTCATACCATTTACATATATATATAATATCCACTTCAACCCATTTTACCTTTAACTTCAGACACTGCAGAGTTTCCAGCAGAATATATTTTACCCATCAAATCCCTCGGTCATTTCACTTCCTCCTCTCTGGTTTTTACTGGACTGGTTTACTGAAGCTGCCAGTGTTCGATTACCACTTTGAAAGTTGTAGGTTGGTGTCCACAGCTCCATCAGTAAATCAAACCTGTGTTTAGGTCATGAACATATATACATGTCTTTTCTTTGGTGTGGAATGAACTGTATAGTTACATTTTGGTTTGATGGTTTTGTGTGTCTTTGTATGTGTTGTACGTGTTAGATGCTGACCTCCAGTGGTGATGGCACATGTGCCTTGTGGGATGTGGAGAGCGGGCAGCTGCTGCAGAGTTTCCATGGTCACACAGCTGATGTCTTGTCCCTGGACCTTGCCCCGTCTGAAACTGGAAACACTTTTGTGTCTGGGGTGAGAGAGAAAGAGAGAGAGAAAGTGTGTGTGTTTGTGTGCGTGTCTGTCTGATTTGTCTGTTTTTGGGCATGTGGTCACGGGGAAACCCTGAAACTCATGAATCACTGACATTTTGAAAGAGAACAATATTCCCCTTCTCTTGTGTGTGTGTGTGTGTGTGTGTGTGTGTGTGTGCGTGTGTGTCTGCGTGTGTGTGTTATCAGGGCAGTGATAAGAAGGCCAACGTGTGGGATATGCGCTCTGGACAGAACATTCAGTCTTTTGAGAGCCACGAGTCCGACATCAACTGTGTAAAGTGAGTTCAGTTCTGTCATGAAAACAAGGAGCTGCCATGATTGATCTTATTCTTATTTATAACAAAAATCATTTCTTTGGCTGATTATACTCCGTATGAATAATGTCATATATGCATAGTGAGCAAAGACGTTCTAGTTTTCTAGAACTCAACCCTCAAGACTTCTGAGACAGTTTGCTCCCCTTTAATTTTTGACTCCTGTCAATACTTCAGTATTTTTCATATATTGTCTTCTGCAGAATACAATCTCATACTTTAAACAATCTTTATCAAAATGTATCAACATTTTATCCAAATTTCTCTGAAATTAACTACAAATCATTAAAGTATCTTTCTTATAGATGTGTGTTCATGTGTGTTCATGTGCGTTCATGTGTGTTCATGTGTGTTCAGGTACTACCCCAGTGGAGATGCATTTGCTTCTGCTTCTGACGATGCCACTGTGAGTCACATTATATTAGATTATACTATTCTGTTACTGATGATCATATCAACATTTGTACTGTACAAGCTTGTTCAGTTGATATTCTCATTGTCTGTCTAATGAAAACTAACAGTGATTTACCAGGCTCAGGCTAAATCATTGCTGTTGTCATGGTGATCTAAGTTTACAATTTATTTTTGTATGAATAAAACTGTTGTCTACACAGGTATGTTACCTCTAGCAGTGTAACACCCATCTGAAATAAAACCCAGATGTTTCTCAGACACAAACCTCAACACTACAGTATATATACAGTATAGAAATGCCTTCACAGGCTCTACACAGACTTACTATTGTCAAACTACCACTACATGTCCTGTGTGTTGCTCTCAGTGTCGTTTCTATGATCTACGAGCTGACCGTGAAGTCGCTGTTTACCAGAAGGACAGCATCGTATTCGGTGCTTCCACTGTGGACTTCTCTTTGAGTGGTGAGTGTGACGTGTTTAAAGCGCTCGAAGTTAATTCCTCAAATCATTTGTGTCATTCATCTGCATCTACTGGGGAAATGAACACTTCCAAAGAAAAGATTTTTTTATTGAATTGACAGATTGTAGTTATTACTTCCTGATTCCTGTGTACCACTGTTCCATTTCCTCTTTCATGTACTTTACCTTCTCATTCACGCTTCCTCTCATGTAGGCCGCCTCCTTTTCGCTGGTTACAACGATTATACCATCAATGTGTGGGACGTTCTGAAGGGAACTCGTGTTTCCATCCTGTTTGGTCATGAGAATCGCGTCAGCAGACTCAGATTGTCACCTGACGGCACTTCCGTCTGCTCGGCGTCATGGGACAACACCTTACGGGTGAGCACAAGTGTCCCCACAGAGAATGACGTTACCATTTAGCTGCTGATCATTTTCTCCACATGTGTTTTGGCTGGTCAATCTATAGGCCAAATACTGACGCAATAAATTGAATCTTTACAATATCAAATAGGATGATACATGTTTTCCTCTTTCCTCTGATATAAAAAAGAAATGAAGGTATAGTCTATCCAAACATTTAAACAGTTTTTTTCATACATACAATCATGTAAAAACATCTTGATCTGGACAAGAACCTTTTTTTAAATGACATTGGTTCAATCAATATGAAGAGTATTACATCCACCAAGGATTTGAGGTTTTCATTGCTGTTTGTCTGTTAGAAGATTAAAAACAGCTGAGACACTTTTATTGAAATGTGACAGAAGGGATTCTTTTTTTACTTTCTTCAACATCATGAGGTAGGACGTTTCTTTCTTCTAAAGAAATAAAGCAAATATGTATGAGAGTGTGCATTTTGTTGCAGCTAGATTTGATTTACGGGGACAGTATGTGCTTCTACTTTTTGACTGAGGTTGGGCTACGCATCTGGGATGGCATGAAGCCTGAACTCCCAAAATTATGAAATTCAAGTGTGAAGTTATGAAACATTGGCTACATTGACATAATTGTAACATTAAATAAAATATATTTTCAAAAGTTAAACTGATAATATAAGCAGTAACTGTCTGGTCAGGTTTACTACAGCCTATGTTACTTTTGTGATATTAATGATTTTGCTTTTACTTAACAAACCTTATTACAGCTGTACTCACAATGGATTTTCACTCTTTTCTCTCGTGCAGATTTGGGCCTAGTGTTCGCACGACGGTTGTGATCGAGCAAAGAACACCAGCGTTATGTGACTGCCAACACTGCAAATCCCCGCTGGACATCAACACACAGAGAATATGTCTCTTTATAATAACTGTGGGGTCGTTATTCATTTGAACAATCGCCTCATCGAGTTCAGATTTCTAATCGTTGTTCTTGATAGCTTGATGACTGTATAATTAATTATGAGAGTTGTTTATATAGTGGGAGATAATTGTCAGTGTAAAGAAGTGAAACAAGCTGTAGAAATCAGCTCTGCTGTGTAGACGCACACAGTGAAGCTGCTGATTGTCCTGTAAATTCTACACTCTCCTGTCAGCCCTCCTGAGAGAACCACACCTATCCTGAATAATACTGAAATACTGGTATTACTGTTGTTACTGCTGCCCTGATTATCCTTAAATATAGTCTACTGCTTTTCTTATTTTAAAAATACTTAAACCTCAGCAGTTTCTTGTGAGAGTAATAAAGAAGATAAGTATTACTAATCTTTCTGTATTTTCTTTTTCTCTTGTTGCCAGACCAGGATTGAACTCATATGCTCTTTTTCTTGCACTGGAGCTATAAAGAAAACTTCTGACTACTGGTAAAATGAGAGCGACTTGAGTTCAAACTGGGTTTATTAAACCGGACTTGAGGGAAATGCTCGTCTTTCTGTTAATTAAACTGAAATCCATGTACAGTAACTCTGAGTCAGTTACCATGGTAACTCTTTGAAAAGTACCACACAGTCCTGATTAGACATCAGTTTGTTTCCACAGAGCCTGTCTAACTAACTTTACTGCTATTATGATCAGTCAGTCATAAATGTGAGGACAGACGTTGATTACTTTGAAATCTTTCACATTGTGGTGGCACATCAGCTCAGAATAAGATCCACAGTCTGTCTTTATGTGTGTCAGAACATACATTGTTATTATATCAAGTTGAAGAGCATGTGATTTTTCTGATTGAGCATGATTCCAGTGCATTTGTAATTTAAAAGTAACTCAGTTTAAACTTAGTGCTTTTTTCAACTGCAAATCACTAAAATCACATGGCTGTTATTTAGTCTCACTGTGAGGTTTCAGTCATTGTTATAAACGTGTCTTATGTCTTATCTGTTCATCAGATATTTTCTTCATCCTCCAGCAGCTTTTACAGAGTTACAGATGAATACATATATTCATGAGTTCAAACTGTTGTGGTCATGTCTGGTAATGTGCTCTAGTGAATTCGACAAGTAATGTTACTGTTAACTTATTGACTCTTTCCTCCAACTCCGCTGTTGTAGGGTTTTTTAAGATAAATGTGCATTTCCACAAAATGATCTCTGCTGGTGAAGGAGATTCACAGTATCAGAGCTTCACTGGTTTCTTTAGTAGTCTAGCAGGAATTAACTCATGTAGTAAACCTACCCAGAGTGTACTGAGCTGACTGTTCAGCCACGAGGGATGGAAATCCCTCTTCAGGGTTCATCACTCAAAGTTCAAGCTTCAGTCTTCAGTCCCAGAGTTTGTTTCTGTTTCTGAAACAGACCCCTGACACATCTCTGTATTAACACAATACCACAGGATGTTCAGAGTTTCATACTGATTGTGCCACACAGGCTTTGTTTAACCTCACACTCTGCACCCAGCACTGCGTTTGACCTAGATTCTGTCCCGGTGGCAGAAATGAGCATCTCTCCTCTTCTGTGCAACCGAGGAACATAAACAGACTGAGCCTCTGTGATTTTCCATCCTGATGTAAACTGACTGGAGCAGTGAGCCTAGAGTTTTCTGTTGTGAAAGCACATTCAGCACACTGGGGTGTTTCTATGGTGGGTTAATGGTACTGGCAGATCCTTCTTCAGTTGCATCGCTTGCCACCAGGGGGCATTTTAGTGTATCAAAGTGAACCAGGACTGTCTGGCTCCTCAAGTTGTGTTATTATTTAAAGGGGAAATGTAAATAATGTACTATAATTGGACTTCTACAACTATTAGTCTAACACAAATATTTGAAGTGAATTCTTAAATTCTTAAAGGACTGCAGCAGTTGTTTTCCTTGTATATTTAACTCAAATCACATTCAGTCTATCCACTTATCCAGGCTCAGGTTCCAAGCATTTTCCCTTTTATTTCTGAATGAGGTGAAAATCCATTAGCTGCCTCTTGAAACTTGATTGGTGTAATTCATCACAATAAACATCCAGTATTAGTCATTGTGTCTAACTCTGTGGTGCTTTGAAATGCAGTTTGTTGATGCCACTTTGACACAAGTACATTCAGATGTAATCTGGTCACCGACTGAGCTTTAAAAGTGCTTTTTCTTCTCCATGGTCTAAGGAAACAAAAGACAATGTCTGTCTGGAATAGAAGGAAAAAATGACATCGTATGAAAACAGTCTAACATTTAAACACATGGTTTTTATTCTACAATTTCCTTAATCCCAAATCTGCATGTCTTAGAATAAGTCTCTACTCAGAAAGGCCCTGGCCAAGCTGTGGGATGTGAACCCTCTTGCTAAGAAGTGACAGTACTAACCACTGCACCACCATACCACCTGTAAAGTTTACACAATTCAAGCTTGGAAAAAACACTGGTGTCTACAAAGTCATATTGATCAGAAGGTCTTACACGTCTTTATTTTTCTTAAACAGTGGTCAAAGTTCAGCTGTGTTTGTACACATCATCATCATCATGGGACAAATTCCCCTGAGTGTTGGAGCTCTGATAAACAACATTTCAAATGTAATCTTGTGAGCTTCTTGAAAACCAAATTAATTTTCTGCTTGAGATGACCGAATGGGTTTTCTCCCAACTCATTCCAAGAATTAAGCAATCATTTTTCTTTCTTTTTCACTTCCAACACAAAGGTTTTCTACATCACAAAATGACGTGACCATTATATTTTCACTTCCCCATCTGTGCACAGACTGAAAGTGAACATTTAAACAGTTTAGGAATGACTGAAAACCAAATCACGAGACCACTCACAGTAATGGGTTCGCAGTAATACTCATAGTATTTTCAGAGCTGAAGTGAGGGCAGGGCTGTTAGACCAAGTTACACCTGTAATTAGTCTGAATTTTACCCTCGAAGGTTAAAAACACAAATTTACCTGGACAGACACTGATGTGTGAGTGTGTTTCATTACATTTAATATAAATCAACTATCAGACACATTGTCTTACACCCACAGGTCTCCTTTCAGCTTTGTCACACCAAATTAAAAACCACTGCACTTCAAAAAACTGTCCGATTTATTTTTCTAGGGTGGATAATAAATTCGACTTCATCTCTGGCTCACATCTCTTGTGTAAATGATTGTGTCTCTGCGCTACAGCTGCATCTGGTGATTGATGCTTCAAGAATTTAATTCTTTTCTTGAGGTTTTCTATAAAAAAGGGTGAAATAGTAAAACAATGAATAGATTTAGCTAATTTTGTCAGATTTTAACCTCATATCTGATGATTTTGACCAACTTTCTCATGATTGCAACCTTACATGTCATGATTTTACCAGATATCTCATGATTTTGACTTTTTAACTCAGGACTTTCACACACTCTTACACTCTTATAACTTCGAATGACTATCTCCTGACGTGACCATCTCGTGTCGTCAGGATCTGATCGACCGGAGCCCTCTTTGTTTTCTCTTCCGTGAATAACGGAACTCGTGTTCCTGTGTGGGCGGCTGACGCTGAGCCGCGGGGGCGGAGCCTCTTGATAACCGGCTCTAAGGGAGCAGAGAGGAACCCGAGGTTCTCCTTCCGCCGTCCGTGCAGAGAGCAGTCTGATATCGCTGGGAGGGTGAGCTCTTTCTTTCCTTTAAGCGTCAGAATAACCATGTGATCTGTTTGTAAATGTGCCCGTGTGTGAAGACACTCTCGCGGCGGCTCGCAGGTGTTGGTGCGGCGGTGTGTGGAGGAGCTCGGAGGCAGAGACGAGGCTGTGGCGGTGGAGCGGTCCCCCCGCAGCCTGTGTGAATGTGCTCTTTGTGTCCCCTCCATTACTCTGCTGACAGATCGACGCTCTCCGCCCGGGCAGAGGAGGAGGAGAAGCCGGTCACTGAACCACAGGTTCAGCCCTTCGTACTGGGTTTAAACTCCACGGGCCTTCGTGCCAGCTCATCGCGTCGTGAGGCTAACGAAGCTGTGTTTAGATTAAGCTAACGTTAACACAAGCGACGTCTCTGTGGTTCATCGGGCTAGCGATGCTATTAGCTCCCCTAAGTTAAACCATTCAGGTGAAGACACCTCGTCCGGCTGTTGACTTGAACGCCAGCCGTCGATTCAGAAACAAGTCTTTCCAACGAATTATGAATTATGAATCAGCTGTAAGTTACCGGACAAAACACTGAATCGGTGCCGGATCATATCGTGATTGTAAGAGATGCTAATGCTAGCTGTGACAGAGCTCGTTTAGAGAACCACAGATGTGCTGAGAGCTTCGAAACAGAGACAATGGACAGAAACTAAGTTCCACTTTTCAAGATAACACAATCGATTTAAATGCAACGGGTTTGTACCACGCTGATTTAAATGTATTGTAATTGTAAGAAATGAGGAAAAAGAAAAAAGGTCACTCTGGACTGGAAGTCATGATTTACCACAGTTGTTTTATAGATTAAAAACAAAGAGAATAATCCACGTGTACTGCTCGTCATAGCTTTTTACTCTGAAGTCTCCCATTTTAATAATTCATTCAAATGTCTCTGTTTTCCATTGGTAGAAAATGTCATGTGGGCTGTGGAAAGACACCCTGGCTCTGGCAGAGGACTACCTGTCCCTGTGCTGCACAAGCCCACCACCTCCACCTCCCAGCGAGTCAGCCGCTTCCATGAGACGCCTGGCCCAGGACATAGAGAGGCAGCACGAGGCTCGCTTCCACTCCCTCGCTCAGGCCTTCCTGAGGCAGTGCGGGCCGGACCCCTGCTCCGGCCTCAGGAAGGTGATGGAGGAGATGGTGGGAGACGGACACTTGAACTGGGGGAGGGTTGTTTCCATTTTCACCTTTACAGGGGTGCTGGCCAGACTGCTGCTGGAGCAGAAGGGTGCTAAGTCGGGGCTGGAACCCGCGCAGGGGTTGGGACAGGGACAGTGGCCCAGGATCTGCAGGGGACTGGCAGAGACCATAGCTGATTACCTGGGAGAGGAGAAGAAAGACTGGCTGCTGGAGAATGATGGATGGGTATGTCACAACATGTTTGTCCCAATAACACATCCTCAGGTGATAGTGCAGGGCTGGTTGAGTCATCACATACGCTGTAGATAAGTGGTTTTAAATGCAATAGGTCCAGTTATAATAGAACAGTACAAGATATAAAAGCCCAGCGGCTGTTGAAAGAGAAAGTGATGTTTTTAAACTACGAGCTCGCACTGGAAACCACCTACTGTGATACAATCTTGTGTGTGTGTGTGTGTG